ATTTCTCCACTTTTTTGTCTCGCCTATTATTACATTTTCTATACAGTTTTATTTTCAAGTTTTATAACTGAGTTTTATTGACTTATTTAAAAATGAAGAGATGATGCACTACCCTCCATTACTTTCTTAATTATAGGGTGTATACTTATGTATTATCAATCTCTTCACAGTAGGATGTGTTTTTCGAAAATAATCAATCTAAAGCACAATTTCATTCTGATAAGAAAATAGGTATAAGATGCTGCATTTGACACATTCTCCTGTGAGATGTCTATCAATGAGACAGTTGAATATCATTAGAAAATTAATACTTAGGCATACGCATCATGACGGATAAAGAAGATATACTTAAGGCGCCTCTTTATACATTCTTGTTCAAATCTTATTAATAAATAGTCTGATGCTAGTTTAAAAGGATCATCATAATATAACATTTGTATTAAAAGATAATTAAAACTTAAGAAGACATGTTTTTATAAAAGCCAGGCAGATTACTTCGATATTCAGATCAGGATGCAGAGTAAACTCACATATTTGATGATATATGTAACAGCAACTTAACCATCATTAAGACAGTAATCGATTCAATGAAGAAGTTCAATGAGAACTTTAGTATTCTAATGTAATTGCTAGGTCACAACTAGTTGTTTACCTTCTTTCCAAGATTTATGTAAGGTCTCTCTCTCAAAATAGAAAAATGCAATCAGAGCCTTAGTTTTGTATTACATATAGAGGAATTTGTGAGAATCTGGAAAAAGTGGGCTCATGTCACTTATCTTATGCCTTTATTCTCAATATCTAAAATTTTTAGCTTTACTGCAAAGATGGTGTTTTTATTGTACCTTGAAAAAGTGCTATATTGCCATAGTCTTGCACTGAAGGCAGACACGCGGGCGTGTGAGCAGGCTCCACATGAATCTTGTCAGCAGAATTTTTTACAGATGCAAGAGCAAACTACTGCCAAGATCTGATTAGGTTTTTGGCATGATGGCTAAATTACATCAATAATATAAGTAACCAATTGCTCTAAAAAGTGTGATATTTATCACTGGGTATCGTGTTTAAAATTGGATGTATCCAAAACCTTTTTTAAGATATGTAGTATTGTATTTAATATTTAAAAAATTTTATGTCACCACCACTAGACAAGTGGCGACATATTGATATAGTCTCTAACTTTTTTGTGGATAGTGTTCAGCGGTCTATATTGGGTGGTCAGTTTTTGGTGTCTGTAACAAATGCCAGGTGGTGACATTTTGCATGTTAGTGCCTTGTTTGTAGATGAGTTAGTAGATGTAGATGAGTAGTTAAAGTCTTTTGCTCACATTGGTTGGTTGTCCGGTTGAAAATGTTGCTCAGAGTTAGCTCATTTGTCAGAGGTTCCAACCTAATATGATAAAATATAGGATCCCTTTATCCATTAGTATAATATCTAAAATAATGTCTAAAGTAGGAAATGAAAACGGAGACTGAATTAGGCTTTAGGCTGAATTGCTATTAACCTGTGTTATCAAATGAAAATCAGGTTGAATACTTCATCATGCTATAAGCTTTATGTAAAAAGACAGTTCCAGTATTGGCTAACACATTTGTAAGACTTATAATGAAAACATTATGTAACCACACCACCCTTTTGATTATTTTAGGGGATAATACAGTTTTGAAGTGGATGTGGGGTATCAATCTTAAATGGCCCTAGAGAGCATTTATTGAAGTAAATCGGAAATGAATAAAAACTTGGGGGCAGAAAAATGTAATATCATGATTTTCTGATTTGATTAAGAAATATCTCTTATTTTAGAGTATAGATGAAATAAAGTTCTTTTAAAGAGTAAATATGAAACGCAACCTTTCAAAACAAAACACAAAGAAATATACGAGGGGCATTTGAAAAATTCATTTCTTTTTGCTCTAAAATTACCAGGAATGATCAGAACAAGACAAAATTTGCAGGATGTATACATGTAGTTTGAATAATTATCATAATGCTTTCAATATTGCTGTCCCTTTTCGCCTGCTTTTTTCTTATCTTTGATGGTTGAGATACCTATATTGAACTTGTTGAACCAGCTTCTTATCATGAGATAATGCAACAAGTGTCTTCATATGTTGCTTTACATGTTCTTACGGTGTCCTTTAAGTCTTTTCCTTGTCTTACACAGATTTTAATGCAAAGTCTCTGCTCTTTGATAAGTTCATTCACCATTTTGCTCCACTGTTGGAAACAACTGCTCAACCAAAATTTTAGTGAAGAGAGTGAGCCTATTTTGACAGATGGTGTTGACAGCACAGTGAGTTCATTCACCTGTTGGCACTATTACATCACTAGTTTGTTATTATGACAACACATTTTAAACAAATAGCATCTTCAAAAAACATATTAAGCTTTTTTCATTCAATACATGTTTCCTGCATTGAATTTTTAAGGTGCTCCATGGAACCAAGTCTCGCTGTTGCCATGGCAACCAAAAGTTCACTTCCTTATAAGATTATATTATATTTATATTGATGTATACTCAAGATATATGTATATGGAACATATGCTGAAAGTTTCATAAAAAATCTGTAAAAATATAAAAAATGAAAAAAATGCAGATACTGAATGGGTAATATAACATAGAATAGTACAGCTAGACTGAGGGAAATCTTAGCTTTATGTTTTATTCAAAATACCTGAGATGCAATCACATGGTAATATTGACATCTAAAACAAATAACAATTTTCTAAAAACCTGTGCAACCCAGTCCCTGTTTGAGAGAAATGTTTGACCATCATTAATGTCTTATATATGAGTTACATAATGCAGTATTTTAAAGCTTGACAACCAATAAAGATTCTGCTCAAAGAATCCATTCTGATGAACACAGTAAACCTAGATATCATGAATCCTCCATAGAATTTATAATAAAGTTGGTCGGTGCAGATATACATTCAAAGTCAATTTGTGGCCACTTCCTCAGATTAATTCCTCTGCGATCTTGGCTCAAACAAGGTCACTCAGAAATTTATCACAGAAATTGGAAATCTTTCTGAATTAATTATTCTCAGGTAATGTGTGTTAGTAGAGGGGGACAGTACATAAAAGACTTACAAAATCCTTTCGTGATATCCTTCATTTCCCGATATCCACTTTAAGGGCCATTATCTTTAATATTCCCTTATGGACAACATTTATAAGATACTGGATTAGTCAGCTTTTCACTCAGTCTTGTCATATGTTTTACCTGAAAGGCGATATTCTTGTTTTTAATCAATGCATTTTGGCAGGAACAGTTGATATGAAGCCATGAGCTAATAATTGTTCATTTGTTATATCTTATCGCTAAGTCACAGAAAACATTATTCTGTCCTTGTATAAAAACAGAGGTAAGACCTCGTTCTATTTGGATTAACTTCTTATATTAATTCAGTTGACAGACATTGATAATTGAATATATTTCATTTAATCTCTGTACAATTTATTTCCAATTATATACTTTAAATGTACATGCCCTCAGCCAGCCTTAATGAACAGGCTAACCAAAACTTCCAAGGGATCTCAAAATAGCCAATTCTGCTTTACAAACATTGCCTAATACAGTAAAAGCTGTCTATGTTGAACACCTTCAGTTCCTCTAAAAAGTGTTTCATTTGGGAGGTGTTCCACCTAGAGAGGTTCATTTAACAATAAGTCAATAGGTTATGGGTCTTTGAAAAGTGTTCTACTTATGGAGGTGTTCCGCTTACAGAGGTGTTCCACTCTACAGGTTTTACTGTATGTGCATTTGCTTAAAATATAAGAAAAACATTGCCAGTTTCTAGAAAATTATTGTTATATTTTGATGAAGAATCTTGAAAAGCTTACTTTTCAAGAAAATATGGGTCAGATTTTTCTGGGTGGTGTGAGGAAACTTTTACGAATAATGTAGTAGAATCTATTTAAGTAAGAGGTATTTGTATATATAGTAACTGCAGAATATTCTCACAGATGTGATAAATGGAATTGGATCACGTCTCTACTGACCTAAGATGTTGGTGGTTGGATAAATGATCCCCTCGAGTGTCAGTTTTTCTACATACCTGATATTAAAAAAAGCTATTGTCATTTTTTACCTCATTCAAAGTATGTAAACATGAAGGTCCTGAAGCATATGCACTTAAACCACAAGGTCTGGCTTATTAGCTTACATCTTACCATATTTAATATCCGCTCATAACAGGAAAAAGGAAAAATTACTTGGTAAACAATTTTTTAATCTATATAAGTCAGCTAACTGAATCAATTTCCTTTTTGATTATTGAAGAGTAATGCGTTATAACTTTGTTCTATGCAATGAAACTCAACTTACACTGAGTACAAAATGAAAATATGTTCAATGTGATTTAAGAATCTTTGACAAAGTCACGTGTCATAAGCGATTTGAGGAGCGCAGCACAGAACATTTCCTACGCTAATTTTTGATTTCAAGCACCCGTTTTAATTATCCCGAATTACCACATAGATCATTTTCAAAAGCATTGTGCCAAAAATTCAAATGTGATTAATTTCATTTTGGGGAACTGTAAGTTAAGAAATAATGATTTTGCATATTTGTATTTTAATTTGTGGAAACAGAAAACTTACCATCTGACTTTTGAAGTGATAATGCATGGTTGCTTAGGTGGACATTTGTTTTTGACAAATACCAGGTCAGATGCAAGGAGGCTGCAGGAGAATTGTATATTATGTTACAGCATGGCTATGCTACTGAACAGTCCCTGTAGTATGTTGGGTCCTCGGGAAATATCTTGTCCCTGAGAATATAACCCATATCTAGCCCCTCTAAGTAGATTAGTAAATGTAATTAGTAAATTGTTATTAGTACTTATGTTGAAATAGTTCTATTGTTGATAGTTAGTTTACTATACATATGAATAGTAATGTTTTCAGTTTAATTAGGAGATATTAGAATATTATCCCAGAGAATAAACCTATATCCAATCCCACCAAGTGAATAACCTTATATTTTATTATTTGCAGTTGAATGAGGTGTCTTTGAAGAGCTATAGTCTAGTCCATTGGCAGGACCTGCAGCCAGAAAGATATAATACATCCAACCATTCAGGAATACTACTACACAAAACTGTGCAGGCCAACTCTTTTATAGCTAACAAATCCAAGTGGAAGCCAGGGTACTTTGAATTAAGGTGTGTATATCAATCATTCTTTACCAGGGAATTACATTGGAACTATAACATTACACGTTAGAATGTTAAGGTGGACAGTTAAGTAATTAACAATAGATTATGTGCAACCTGATGAGACACTCCTAACAAAATAAATGAGTGTGGTTTAATTAAAAAGTGTCAACATACTCAATGGCTCATCAGGGGGGGGGGAGATTTCGCAAATATGACCTGTAGTATTTGGCACGTTCGATGACCAATTTTATAAACAGGCCTCATTTGCCATTGAAATGGGTCTCACAAAGTTTGCTGTTGTTTTATGAGTATTCCCTCCAAGTTTGGATCGAGTAACTTCAAAAGTATTACCGTAGTTTTGAAATGATGATGTTGAAATGATGTTAAACTTAAATAAACGCCATTTCCACGATTTCAATGAATGAGCACGTGCTCATGATTGTTCACGTGATCACATCCTGCAATTTGATTGTACGTCATATAATGGGGAATCCCGGAATATGATAGAATATGAAAGAATTGTGGGAGCTTAACTCACTTCTTCTGATGGCTCACAAACTACCTTCTCAGTGTGCTTTGAAATGTTTATGGAAATGCCCAAATGGCCAGGGAATGACAAATCTATCTACCTATCTGTATATACCTCTACTTTTTGATTTGAAATTTTCAGAGATATTCCTAGTATCAAGGACTGATTAGTTTTTATGGGATTATTAGGTGGCCATTCAAATGAATTTTTTGTATATTTTCTCACATGATGCAATTAAGAGCTTAAGAGCTCAATCCTCCTTCTTTTGGATTTTGGAGCCCTGTTGTCAGGGGATGATTACTACCATTCATCTTACTGGAAGTAGCCACTTTACAGTGAGCCCATTGGAATCTCGATACTAAGTACTGAGATCATTTCATCACTGTCTTTCCAAACCTCTTTTTGAGCTAATATAACAAGAGGAGGAGGAAACCCCAGGGTTCAGAGAATTAAAACATATGTCTGTAATGTAAATGTGTATTGAGAAGACATCATCGCTGATTGGTCGAATCAATAGACAAATGAGGTCATTTCGTGGTCAGTTTCATTAATTTTCGCCTCGAATAGCATTACATGTATGTTAATTTCTGGCGTGTTTACCAACATCATAGCTTGTTATTTCACACGAAGATAAAGAAAGATGTTAGGAATATGCTAACATCGATTAAAACATCACAACGATGTGTTGTTTTCAGAAACTAGTTGGTGAGAATTTGGACAAACAAACATGGTAAGCAAGAGACATAATTATGTCTGTCATCTCTAAGCTCTAGGGTTTCCCTCATCTTAGAGCTAACGAAAATTTTCAAAAAGGCCTTCGTTAAGCTTTAATATTCTATTTAAGAACCCATATTCTTACTATTGAAAATGGGTTCTAACAACACTCTCCCACATGAATCTACTTGTTGCGACTTGATAAACTTGAGTTATGTCTGGACAGAACTTTGTAAGTAGACTATGTCAGGGTTAATTGAGATATGGTACATAGACCACTCCACACATAATTGTAAAGAGCAAGCACATAAGACACAGTAGTACATACAAGTACATGATTTGTGATAGCACATGTTTTCAAAAGTTATGAAAAATCATGAAATCTTTCCAAATCATCCTAATTTAATGAATTGATCTATTTAGACAAGTTAGTTATGTAAAATTCTACTTGTACCAGTATATAAGGCTTATTCATCAGGAGTGATCTGTTAGCAGAGGAGGACAATCATTTCTTTTGCTAAGTTTATATTTATTTTTCCAAACGTAATTTTTACAGCACAAATCGAAGACTTATATAAGTTTGTTCTGTTGGTACAAGTAATAAAGAGGGAATTTTTGCAAACATTCTACAGATTTTTCAATATGTTTGGAAATTTTAAAGTAGATTACGGTGGTGGTGGACCATCATGATAAAAATGAATTACATTGTGATCCAAGAGAGCCTAAAGAGGTGTTTTGAGATATTTCATTTTGGCTTATATTTCATCTTTGTGGTCATTATTAAACCTGTGATGATTATCACCTATGTCTGTTTGAATATCAAGCGACAGTGACAAGAGAAAACAATGCCTATTATATAATGTATGACCATTAAGGGTAGTAATTACATTAGAACCATCACACTTAATAACTTTCCCCATCAGATGTGCCTATATTAAGGAATATATCTCATAATATCAGAGCATGTTTTTTGTAAAAGAAGAAGGATGTGACTCGTATCAGAATCTAGGAGGACTTACAGATCAAGTGATTAGTGAGAATTCATAAACCTATTTTATATTAGGCTTAAAAGGCTGTATTTGTATGGATTACTTACTACTGTCTTTTGTGCTTGTGTTGTACAATTATGTCCGGGGGGATCCATATACCATATATATGACATAGTCGAATTATAAAAGCTTATTAATACGGGAAAATAGATTTTTAACACATTATGTGTATCTTAAATTATAAATCATGTTTTATCGGAAATCTAATTCCCTGATCATATTGACTCAGGCGTATAAGCTTAAAGTTTATAGAGAGATTATGAGTTTTGATTAACCTTACTTGTAATCATCATTAGGGATATGAATTAAATGTATTGGAATTTATGTTGTTAAAGTGTTAGTGACGTACGTGTATTAAGGTTTTTCCCTGATGTGAATTCATTTCTTTCAATTGGAGACTGTCCTTTTATTTTGGGGTGTTATTTTATTGGATGGTTGCTTTCATTTGAAGGCTGTCCTATCCCACCATATTGAAAGATGGCATTTCCAGGACCGATTCTCTTTGTTATATCATCCACTTTCAGCAGTGAAATAGCACAGATTGACCCTAAGTGCATTTAGTTATTTGCAGTCATTGTGTTGCAATACAATAATAGGATCATTTTTAAGAACATGATATCATTTACATCTCTGAGGAAATGAAATAATAGAGATTGCGTTTTGTTTTAATCATTATAAATAAACATACGGTATGTTTAGAGAAAAGTGTTACCTAATATCATTGATGATACCGTATTATCTCTAATAAATGCACACCCGACTTTTCCAAGAAAGACTGGCAATTTGAAAAACAAAAATCAAGAAAAAATATAATTTATTCGAGCGAGCGATAATAGGGTAATATTGAATTATTCACTTACTGCTATAGATAGAACCAAGCTATAACTACGTTCATGATAACCTTACAGTGATGAGTTAAAAGCTAAAATGAATGTTAATTCGGGCCTGTCGCCATTACTCAAACTTGCAGTGCCCGCAGTGCATCATGGGAGTTCCGATCTATAAATATTCTTCTGCCTTTTTGAATCGTTTATAAATGTTTAGTAGCATTATATGGATATAAAACATATTTTCCCCGACTATGAAGACCATTTAGACACAAGAAGCCTTTAGATTTTGACTCAGGTATCGGTGTCAATTTCCAAAATGGCGCCTGCTCGGAGCAATTGGAGTGGATGTTTATCATCAATATTGATGCATATTATATGCCAATTAACCCACGGAAACACATTCAGCAGATTGATAAATGCATGAGGAAAACATCAAGGTATGATACTATGTTATCTAGTTGGAGTGAGTCCAGTTTTAAAGAGGAAAATCATGGAACACCCTATTATTGTCCAAACTTTTTTTTCACAAATCCCGGGGATTTTGTCATTTGAGACATCTTCAGGATAATTTGGTTAACACACTGTGCGTTTATTGGAGAGAATACAGTATTTATATATCATTTTACTATTGAACGCATTAGATGTCAAACATAATATTCAATGATGATGACATTTCAAGCAATCTGATTGGCCCATGTGACTTAAAACTATCTTTTATCTTTACCCTGTGGCATACAGAATCCATATAACATCCTGCATCATCTATACCGCATTCTTTGAAGTCTTTATATTCTCTATTTTCTGTCGACTATTTTGGTGCCCTTTACATCTTCCAACCAAATATTAAGAAAATATGACTAGGCCTACTTAGTATTTTAGTTATGCTCTAGTGTTTCTATATACAGATAGACTTGGGGATGGATTGACGAATGGATGGAGAGACGAATGGGTAGATGGACAGAGAATGTCAATCTATCCCTATCAAACTTCATTTATTAGGATAATCATTATGGTCTGCACTTAATTCTCATTCAAATTTGAAGAAAAACAATAAATATTTCAGATCTTTGTGTTTTCTCTACATACAATGGATATTTGGTGAGCAGAATACATAATACATAATTGATTATATAATTGATTACCATGTCATTGATTAATTAATGTAATCTGCAGAAAACATCTGCGATTGTCACGTATCTGCCTCGTATCTGGTTACGTTCATCTATCTAACAGGTTGATTTGACATGAATTCACACTGATAGATTTCAATGATGCTTCGTAGCAAATGTCATGACGATCACTTTTAGATATGTTAGGAATGGGAAAAATAGCGGAAAAACAAAAATGGCTGAAAGAGATGCTCATGCAATAAGAAAAATAGTTGATTGACACTCACCTTGAATAACAGTTAAATTGAATAACAATCCAAGAAGAAATTTTCAAAAACGCCGCTATTAAAGTGGCCACTGTTTGTCGTTTAAAATGTAATCTTTAATTACCCAAATACCAGGTTACTGATTTGGTTCAAATTTTATATGCTGATACCTAGGGACAAAGAAGCTCTGTTCAAGAAGAAAATTTCAAGATGGACACTTTTTATCTAAACATATTGAGTTCGGTGGGATTTACTACTCTGTGGAGTTACTGTTTTCTAGTTTATAAACACTTCTATTAATACCATCTTGAATTATGGTAACCCTATTTAACGAATTCAGAAAATTCTCTATTTTTGACTTTCTGCACTTACCAGTAAAACTACTTGAAAGATTAATATCAATTTGTACAATTCAGGGTAGGGATAGTTCATTCTATCCCAGAAAACCTGGACCTGCTATTATTAAAATCCTTTGGGGGTAAATAGACAAGAAATAGACTCAAATGACATTATATATTGTTTGCAAGGTCGGAGGACCCTCTTTGGTGAATTATAAGGCAATATGGAATATAATTGCAGTATAATTCACTGAGATAAGTAGTTACAGACACATACTGACTTTTCCTGTTTTTAAAAGGGGATATTTTTAACACCTATAACATTGTTTATTCAGCCTCTGGAGAGACATTGGAAACAGTTGGGCTTTCAGCATCCAACGGTAATCAGTTCTTGAGTAAATTTTGATTTTTATTGTTTTAATATTTAAATATGGTTTATTTTGAGAAGTAATAACCATTTTGTCTTATATAATGGCCTTATTGAAGCCTGATATATTGGGGTGACCCTGCTCCATTGTTGACCTCCTGTTGTACGGTGACATGTGGTAGGCTAAAAGTCATGTTATCTGGAGGTTAATTTGCTTCCAATAGGTAACTTAACTGAGGGAACTTTTATCCGATAAAGTTAAAACCATTTTGACCTATACTTGTATATTATAGTCTTACACAATATTATCAAAATGCTTCATTGAATCTCATTCAAAAAATGTCTCAAATGGTTTTTCAAGTCATGAAAAGTAATATTTGATTGATTAAACTGTATTTTCAAATTTTGTATGGGGGCTTGAAAGCTTTCGAAAATAAATATTATACCACTACAATCAGATTATTATGGTCTCCATTTTTGTGACAGCGGTTGGTGATCTCAAGGTAAAAAAAAAATTTGACCTTTACAATGACCTTTTTAAGGTCAAAAAGGTATTTTTTCAACTTGCTTCGAATTTTTTTTTCAAAATCATATACGTTTTCAGGAATTCAAATCTGACTTAAGATTGAACTAACAATATTGTGAGCAACTAGGTGGTGACATATTGTCATGTCAATGCCTTGTCTCTTATGTGTAGGATGTGTAGTTGATGAATTATTGCTTTTGATTGTGGATTGTGGGTTGTGGCGGCAATATTCTAAAATTAATTTTCACTTTCATTAATATCTCATTAACAAGAATGAGTAAGTAGTTAGGCAAAAACTAGCTGTTAACAGCAATTATGACTTGTAGAATTTAGTGGGAAGCAAGTGATCATCTTTAGGAGAGTGGAGTACTTAAGTAGAGTAGGGTCTTTTTGAATCCAAGTTCCACCACCTTGCAATTTTGAGTAACTGTGTTGAGATATACTAGTGCCTTAATGAAAAAGTAAAAATATCAGTCATTTAAAAACAGACTGTAAATTTTTATGATGCTGTGTTTTCTTATATTTCCAGAAATGGGACTTTATTCCAATATACAGATGCAAACAGCACCCAGTCTCCAATATTAGCTGTACATTTGGGGTGAGTCATAAGTTTGAACAAGGACTCGGGGTGGGTCATGGAAGTCATTTTTGGAATGTTCTACAACTGCATCCATTTCTCTATTATTATCTCCATTTTGACCTGGAAAAATAAGCCAAATCATTTGGAGAAGGCATCGTGCCACAAAGTGGTCAGGCTGTTTCACACTAGTTCCCTACAATCTAGATATGTCCAAAGATTTTTTTGGATTAGCTGGAAAACATACCAGTGACTACAAACCCCTTGCTCATAATGAGGGCATTCACAGCACCTGTTATCATATATTATCCATATATCCCCTCCCCCATAATTATTAATACATTATTATCATCATAGTGATTTACCAGTTGTACCATTAAACTCTAAATTGTTAACATTTTCAGAACCACCCTAGTCACAGTGCATACCTTGGGCTTCTTGCTTAATGGCATTGGTCACTTGATGGCATAAGTTTCTATTCAAATTCTATCACTTTTAAACTACATATCTGCTTAAAATGGGTTTATCAGCATTTTGCAGATTATTGATGTAGATCATAGTTAAAGAGCATCCCTCCAAGACAGGAGCTATTGTTGCAGACTGTAGTCTCCTGATATTAATTAATACTTTGCATTTATTCATCATAAATTACCCATCTTTCTATTTATTTGTATTTGAAACATGCTCATGATGTCATTTTATCGTAAGTTGGGACCAATAAAAGGAAATTTGATACATGAAAGTGTGTTGAATATGATGAACAGGACCATTGTTAATTACGAGGATCAAAGGGCTTGGAATGAGTTATTTTATTTTTCCGCTTCTTGTGCTGCCAATAATTGGCACTAAGGAAATCTGAGGTAATAACTTTGTTATCTGAGGCCTCACTTCTATGATAAAAGCCTACTTAAATCCATTTACCAAAGTGAGATATTAACAGATACGTTATTATTTTATTTCTAGATTCAATCATATTGTCTAAAGGTGCAGTCTGATCATAAATAATGTCCTCCTAGTCATTTGTGCCACTTAAAAGAATTAGTTTTTGTTTACTTAAATCATGTATTGATTCATACTTTGTTATATTGACCGAATGAAAAGGACGTAAAACAAAAAGCTCTAAATGTGAATAACCCTATAAATATATATTAGCGCATAGGCCTAAATGTGAACATTTTAGTGAGGCAGTTCTAAATGACACATTCATTTTCAAGTTATTGCCCATCTCTACGCTTTACTTTTCTCATTCGAAGAATGAATATCTAGGCACAGGACGTAAGGGTAAAAGACTAAACACATTTACACAGGTACAAAAAGTAACATTGAAAAGTACAACTAAAAACAAGCCCAAATATCCCATACCATGACATAACATTCAAAGAACAGTTCCCAAAATTACAACCACTATGGATGACAATTGCTTTATAAAATTGCTTAATTATTATAGAAATGTATATCTGTAGTTGCCAACATTTTACAATAGTCCACGTTAATATAGCAGCCATAACTCAACTATAATATAATGTATAATGTAACATTGGTCATTCAAGTTTGGCATTAAAATGAACATTATTAATTGCATACATACATGATGTAAAAAATACAAAAATATTAAATGATGGACATTTTTCGAGATATTTTATTCAGTACTCTGCAATCTCGTAAATAGATATAAATATATATATCTCGATTACACAACCACAGATATATTGTTGTACATTGTTCATGTTAATGTAAATCCATATTGTAGAGGTGAAGAATGCCTAGGATGCAGGAGAAGTACACAGTCAGATCGTGATCATTCGTTTGAAGTGATTCTGTCCAATGGGAACATTCTCGTACTTGCAGCAGCCAATGGTGACGATATACAGCAGTGGCTAATGAACCTATGTCAGGCTGTTGCACAAAAACATGTAAGTTGCGATTGATATGAAGGTGGATATTGGAGGGGGGGGGTCATTTTATGCCATTGCATGCAGACATTCTACTTTTCAAAACGCAATTTATTGCCTTAATACAAGAGCAACTTAAGCACCAAACCCCTTTGATAATCTACAGTGTAAACATTAACGATAATTAAATGGTAAACACGAGCTTGTTCATGTGGTGGGATCTATTTTGGTTTTCATAAACTCAAAAGCAATTAATGTTCAGTGGGATACGATCAGATTCAATGCAGATATAATGGTATCATTTAGTATTAATTTCCAATTCCTATGAAAAATTACCAATAATTACATATAATTTGTCAAAGTCATTTTTCCAAAGTAGAATAAATTTTGATTGAAGAGCTAAAAGTGTCTCAACAATATGCTAATATGAAATTGATAGCGGAATTTTTTATCATATCAGAATATTTGATGCTAAGAAGAGTGACACTACCTTATCTGTCATATACGTGTCATATTTATGTCATTTTTATGATAATCATTCTATTAACAAATGATTTTGTAAAAAATGAAGTGTGTTGGGTGTAATTTGTTGACAATACCTTGATTAGAAGTCATATATGCATCATATTTGCGTCATTTTTTTGATAATCATTCCATTAACAAATGGTTTTGTTAAAAATGAAGTGTGTTGGGTGTAATTTTGTGACAGTTCCTGATAAAGTGTCATATCAAGTGTCATATAAGTGTCATATTTGCATTATTTTTTATTAGCTCACATGGATGAGCTATTGTAATCACCCACTTGTCTGTCTGTCTGTCTGTATGTTACAATACATCTGTCTGTGTCTGTCCGGTGTATGTTACAAGCTATCTGTCCGTGTCTTTCTGTGTCTTTCTGTCCGTCTGTCTGTCAACACATTTGTGGCTCATTTGTAATCCTCTACTTCAAATCATTGACAAAGTTAAAATATTGGCTGCCATTTTTTCACCTCTTTTTGGTCATAACTTCAAAAGCATTCAATTTACACACTTGAAATTGTACAGCTATCTTATATGTTAAGTTGATGTTTACAAAGGACGATTCTCGGTTTGGAGAACAGTCTCCTGGGCTAATAATTTTTTTCATGAAAAATATAGAAATATTACCCAAATTAAACTATGAATATTCAAAAGAGGACATTTAAATCTACAAGATGTAAAAATAACAAATTGGTCTGAAGCAGGGATAATGCTCAATTAGACCGATTCAATAAAATACAAGTCTCGATTTGGGGAAAGAAGTTCATCAGTGTACTGCGCTAATATTTTTTTGCGAAAAATCCAGAAATATTACCCAAATTAAATTATGATTATTCAAAAGAAGACATTCAAATCTATATTATGTAAAAAATCAAATTTGTCCGAAGCAGGGATAATGCTCATTTAGATTGATGAACTTCGTTCTCCAAACCGAGAATCGTCCTTTGGACAAACATGTCACACGGATTCATAATGGCTGCCACCAAAAGTATTACATTGATTCGCTTGAAATTCTACAAGCAGCTAACTGTAAAGATTAACAATTATGTCTTGAATTTTAGCGAACTATTGTATATGATTTTAAAATGGCCACCACTCTTATTGGTCTTTTGAATGCATTTTCACCATGTGAGCCCGGCACCCATGGCACTATTTATTTATGATTATTTTTCTATTAACAAATGATTTTATATAAACATTAACAAAACAGGAAGGAATTTATTATTTCAAGAAAAGTATTAATCAATAAAAGGGTATTAATGAACAAAAATGATTTTCACTTACCTACATGTTTAGTATATTAGTGGAGTCACTTAATATATTTCTAAGCATCATTTTGTATATTACAAAACGTTACTGATTTGAGAATTATTTTGTTGGCCAAACTGAATGATAAGGCCCAGAGGCAGACTAGACACGAGGGCAGATGTAACGTCTTAGTCTTAGATTTCTTCGACTTCCTTTTCTACTCAAATATAGATATCAGATTTATTATCACAATTAAGGAAACAATATATTTACAATAAGAAGATCAATGAGGAAATACATTGCACTTGTATTGATAAAAATATAGATCAGGTGCAATATATAATTAATGACTTCAATTTACTTTGTATGGTTCTAGCAGAATGACATATACTATGTGTTCCTATGTAATTGATGGGATGTAATAGTCATTGGCAATTTTTCTCTTTCATAATGTACTTTACATTGATATATGATGTCTGGAGGTTCAATGTAATTGTCTTGAATTAACTTTTTGGAAAATTATTCAAAGGGTGAAAAATTGCTGTTATATATATGGTAATAAATCTGACTTTGGAACTTCTCCATGTCATCAATCTTCATGTCTTGATGAATTTGGCATACAATAAGTTCTCCTATATTTTGTCATTAAGATTGACAAGTTATGGCAATTGCAAAATAATGTAAACGTTAGAATGCATCATCAGAAATATGCATAAGTGTTGAAGGTTTCCACCATTAAATTGTTCTGACGTTTGAATAAAACATTTATTTAGCTGTGCCATTCTCAAAATTCATTTCGTTTGTTGCGTACCTTCACTACCTCTCTGACATTGTTAAAATAGTCCTAAGATTTCCGGGGCACGATCTTAGAAAGCTTCAGAAATTAGTACGATCTGTAATACTTTAGCAACAACCCCGAAACTTTAATATAACATATATTATAACGTTAACAAATGATTTTACCATCGAAATTGGTAATCTACGTTGTATTTGATGTGTTTTTAGGTAAAAATCTCCGCGGAGCAACAAATTGTAAAATGTCAAGATAGATAATCACTGGAATCAAAATTACTACACGTTTTCAAGATAGCGGTGTCAAAATTTTCTGAAAATGCTTCAAATAATATTATGTTAATTTCTAGCGAGTTCACCAATATCATAACTTGTTATCTAGTAACAAGATAGAGAAATATGTAAAAAATTCAATTTTATCGATTAAAACATCACACCGACATGTGGTTTTCATTTATTAGACAATGAAAATTACGAATATGGGGATGACGTCACTTCAAAACAAACTGCATAGCAATGGTTTGAATAAACAATTTCTGATCGGAAGTCCTTGCAAATTCCTAAGTTTTCATTTTTAACAGTTTGTTACGAATTACTAATATTTTTCTTATGAATGAATTCTTTCTATATTAGAAATAAACATTTTATAAGATATAACGAATAAAATCAGTAGCAAACGCAAAGAAGCAGGTCAAAATATTTAGAAGGGTAAATTTCGCGAATTTAAAACTGCATGAGGTAAGGCACAGGAGGAAGGGATTGCAATGGACGAAAGGCTCGGAGATTGTAGCTGTGCGTGGCGTCATCTAAAACCTCCTGTATCCACCAGCCTCTTCTTTAGATATTATAGGATTTTCCTTTGCCATTTAAGGGTAAAGTAAAAATCCTCAACAACTGGTCAATATCCCCCAAAATCATGCTAAACATACAAGTAAAGGAGAAACTTGACTTCTATTCCCTTTGTGAACATTACTAGATCAAAGCATCCAATATTCTTCTAGAGGCCTACATGACATTTTTTCAGATTATATTTTGAACTGAACCATTTTATGTAATTTTGAATGTAAACTTGACTTAATTACTTTAAGTTTCATTTCTGAATCAAAAGTTTAAAAAATGAACCCTAGATAAACCATTGCATGACAATAATTGGTTGTCTAATTTTACAAACATGTGCTTTACATAACCCCTAGGGGTGAATAATTCAGAAAATAATCTGAAGCAACCAACACCTGGTAGGTCCCCAATGTGCAATACTTCTAGAAACAAAAGCCAACAATTAGGGCCAAAAGTAGTAAACCTTTAAATAATGTATAATGAAGTTTTTTTTTAAAAAAATGAGAAATTGTAATATAAGAATAGAATTGTTAAGGAATGGAAAAGCACATGCCCAAATATTAAATATATTTAATGGAAATGCAAAATTCGTAAATTCTACACAATTTCACCAAACCATACAGAAAAATCATTATGTGGTTTAATTTAAACCATCATTTTACATCAAGTAAGATATGATTCCATTGAGAAACAACAGGATGTACTCTTGAGCACCTTGAATGCATTGAAAATTAAACCAATTTATCATAACTGAAATATTAATTCCTTTCCCATCCCTCTTGGCTTATTTCTGTACATAATGACGTTCATTTCATAGTTTTTGAACAGATCTGGTTTAGGTTACTTATTGAATGAATATTTTATAATAGTACAGATGTCTTGAATAGTAACAAGCATAAATGTTTTTCAAACCTCTTAAGGTTAATTAATGTACGCTCATTATTGGCTCTCATGGTGTGTCTATGGGATTGCTCACTTGATATGTCTGTCTGTCCATCCATCTGTCTGTCCATCTTTCCATTCATCCATGCATCTGTTTGTCTGTCTATGTTTTGTCACCACAGGAGCCCACAGAATTGTGCCATTTTTTGTAATATGTACAGTGTGTATTAGAAAGGCGGCCCTAAAAATGTATCTGAAACAACATGACAGATCAGCATCATTAGTAGATTTTTTCACACAGTGTTAAATCATATATAGAGCTTAAAATAAATCATACAGGACTAAAACCAAAAGATCATACACAGGTGGTTGTGGGAATTGGCTGCATAGATTTCCTTCAAGATTGTTTCCTGCCATATACTACATAGTTCCAGGAAAATTATTTTTGATTCATTAGTCTCCTATGTAGATATGGAAATTACCTTTGGTATTTATAGTCCATATTTCAGCATCTGGAGATTTTGATCACTTTGACAAATATCAATTATGGTGTATTTTCTTGTATTATGTCTATTAATAAAAAAAAATTGTTCAGCCCTGATATTAGATAACTAATTCTAATTTAGTTTGGGGATTACTATACATGTCAGTAAGATGAGACAAAGGTTTACCACAAATGTATTATTATTCAATTTTTGTGCATGTTATCATTGAGAAAACGCATCAAAAACCATATAAAATATAAATTATAAGGTTATTTATTCAAATATGTAGCATCACAAGTACACAATGACCCCACATAAAGTTTCATAAATGTGTGTATGACATTTTGTATTGTCTTGACCAACTATATGTATGTATGTATGTTCCAGATTGAGAAGAAAAACAATGAGTGTATGGCATGTTGTCTGGTATTAACCAATTCTAAGATCTTGATGTGTCATGAAGACCCTCAGACCCACTTCTTCCGTACCTTAGGAAGTGCTGATGTCACAGATGTCTCTCAGCTACTCCAGGATACGGGTGCAGCTACATATGTCATACTCGTAAGTTAATTCCTAGGCATACGTTAGAGTGCTACACACCCCCTTACTTCATCCCAGCCTGGTCAAGAGGGAAGGTGGGGGGATGGAGGGGTCGTTCACTCCTCACTGTCCATTGATTGTTCAGATAGTCAATACAGGAAATACTCATCTAGCCCAACAGCATGTACTGATCCATTATGTTACCATTAAGAATATAGTCCTGTGTAAGGATACTAGCAGTTATCGTTAGTGATTTGTTTTTCTGTACAAAAAGTCATTTTTTTCCTTCCCTACCTCATCAGAGCGCCATCTGGTGTTTGATAAGTGAATTGGGGCTCAATATTCATACAGTAGGTCCTAATTTAGCTAAAAACATGTCAAAGTCGAGTTGGAAATCTTATTTTAAGTTAGCAGTGGAGTGATTTTGACCTTGGTGAATTTATCTCAAAAATTCGGCGGACAGCCCATGGCAAGTTTGTTATAGCAGGCTAGGCAAGTCTCCCGAACACTGTGGTATGTTGCACTAGGCTTGGATGCTAACCGTTAATGAGATACAGGGTAAAATGTTATAATGGTCACCTACGGGAAACTCTTCTGAAGTCTCCAACCTATTAAGTCGTACCATATTGTTGTTATTTGTTAAAGGCTCCACATTTTGTTACTGATGGTCATTGGTCAACATTCAATTCAAGTGTTTTTTCAATTCAAGTGTTTGCTGAATGGCACTAGACAATCAGAGTCTGTAACAAATTGTTACGCATTTTTGACTAATTATGTGTAACCAGATGGTCACATTTGTTATGTAGATGCCTTGTGGGTTTTCACATGATTATAGTGTGAGGTTCCATATAACTCTGCAAAATGTTTGACACCTACTTATTTATTTATGACTTATTTATTTCTATACTACTTATTTCTATAGAGAAAGGATGCAGGTTCAGTGACAGGTTTGATGAAGTAAAGCAAGCTGTGTAACTGCAGCTTGCTACCATGTCAGAAAATGAACTCTGCCATGTCTTTCAATCTTGGGTTAAGAGGACGATGAGGAAGTGTGTAGGACTTGATGGAACCTATGTAGAGAGCCCTGTAGAATGAAGGTGGCATGAATGGCACATAGTGATTACAAAATATCCCAAATCAATTATTGCATATTGAAATGGTGAAATTAATTACCATCATGCTTTGTTTCGTTCAACCTGCATTTAACTGCATTGCATGTTAAATGAGATAAAATAGCTTCAGAATGTGTGATATGATGCCGCTTCCAGGGTACCTATATTCAAAGAAATAAAGATATATTACATATTTTGTCTTCAAATCATCAGAGTTGATAGGTAATTGAATAATGTATCACTGGAAAAAAATCAAAGAGATTGATCTATAAAAAACATTTGTGTAAAAAAGCGTTCATTTATACTTATTGATCACCCCTCATATAAGAATTTCATAGTTGATAAAATTATTTGTCGTAATGGTCTCATTTTGTGTTGGATTATGGTATTTATACCTACGTTATATCAAAATTCAGATTTATATTAAAACTTTTCAACATTCAATTTTGTACAATGTGTATCAAGACGATAGAATTCATTAGTTGTGTTATACTGACATTTTTATACTTAAGCCTGTGATGCTTAAGATCATTTAGGGTTCGTCAAACTCACACTTTACCGTAAATTGTAAATTATTCTGCCACTCTCTTGCTCATTCCCCTGTAAAAGACAATGTTGATGAGCCAAAGAGTATTAGGAAGTCTCTATCTAAATCACTTTGAAGATCACATTGACCTTAAATAGCATCATAGGACATGCTGGAATGCATCAGATGAGGAACATGACACTAATATATGTAGTACAATACCCCTTGACATTGATTCATGGTAATTGACTCAATGTAAAATAAATGATTTCCCTGTGCTACTCGATGGTTTGTTTGCCAAATTGTGAAGTATAAAGTCCCCGAATCTGAATCACCAACAAAGAAAATAGAATACCTAACATATAGTTTAGAAATTGCACCCTTAAATCATTGCTCCAAGTTGAATGAACATTTTATAACCAATCGTGCATATCAAAAATTTATTATCTAGTAACACTTTACACTCACGGATACACTAAGACACTTCCATATATAGAAGGCATCAATCACAGCCTTCACGTGTCTCCTTTACAGCTTGTAATTTCCTCTCTCCAGTTTACACAATTTTGACTCATCCAAATTAGTAATATGTTCACTGCTTTCTCCATGTGGGATAAAGAGCACTGGGGGGTCACCCTAATTTGTCTTCAAACGTCGGCTTAAGGTAAAACTAATTACATCATTTTTAAATAAGAATTATGATGTATGGGCTGGTAGTAAATCTACATTGCCATGATCTGTCATGGTTTTTATGACATTAAGGTGTGCAGGGGGCTTAAATATAATTAATTAAACTGTCCTGTTGGGCAATCTGAATAACACAGAACACAGTAACCTTCTTAAGTTAACATTATTAAGTGAACCGTGTTTGGTCTTAAACTGTCAAGCCTGTCAAGTATTGTTCCTTTGAAATAAGGCGGTCAAGACAACCTTTTCAAGTTAACCTTTCAAGTTAATCTTGCCAGATGATATTTTTAAACCTAGATGTCAGTTGGTAGTTAACAGTTTCCCCAACAGATGGCTAATTCGGGTCAGATCACATGACAGATATAGTAGGAAGTTCCCTTAAACTTGAATATTCATCAGTGTAAGAGGATCAATTTTCCCTTGTGTGTCTGATACAAATATGTCCAGTAAAAGGAAATATTATCAGTCGATCCACAAGGAGGATTGGTTCCCAGGGTTCCAACTCGATATTTGACTATGACCTTGATCGACAACAACATTGAAAATGTCATTATTATTGTTTTACTATTTTCTGTAATCTGTTGTTATGAAATCGATCCGAATTCTGTACACATAGTAATACATGACAGGCCGCATGTGCCTCCATTGTCACATGCATTAATAACAATGGCAAAGGGTTTCATAGCATGTACACGAATAGATACATTAATAGGTGTTGATGAATGATAAGAAGATAGTTATGACGTTTTGTAGAGCACGTCTTACAATTAAAGGACAAAAGTAATGTACAATATACCATCATTTATAGATGAAATTGATATCACTCGTCATGCTACTCCTCATGATATATCCTTACTCAAAAGGTCATTCGCCGCCAAACAAATATTATGAAAAACACTAAATATCATGCGATATCAATGAAAACAAACGTTTATTTATCTAAAGGTAAGCGAGATTGATGATGTGAGGAAGTGTTGTGTGTGCTGATAGTTTGTCAAATTCTGATAAATAGGACATTGTTTTTCACATTGTTTATCATAATATCTCATTTTGATCCTTTTGATAACTACGTAGGTGAATATTAAGCGAATGAATTAACCATAGAACAAGGTAATGATATTGTTGAATGAACTGTGGGGATAGCAGAAGATGGTGATGCCATGATACATCATTTTCAAAACAAAAGTGTCCTGTCTTTAATCCAACAGTCATACCTTCCTATTTTAATATTAGAATCAATTCAAATATATTATTTTAGAAAAACTTTGTTGTCTGTTTTCAGGATTTTGAATCTAGCGATAGCTCCGTGAGTAAAGAACAGTGGGTTGTTTACTTCAACTGTCAGGAAGAAAGAAACAGATTTACTCAGACCCTTTCAGAGACATGGGCAGAGCATTTTAAGGTACTGTATATGAATAGATACATGATCTCATTTCAAAAAGCAGTACATGCTAATATGTATTGGCACATTATTTCAAAGCACTGTACATGCTTCGAAACATGGGCACATTATTTCTATGTAATGTATTTCAAATACATGGGAACAGCACTTCAAAGTATTGCACAAACTTAAATACTTGGATACATAGGCAGAGCATTTCAGAGTACAGTACATGCTTACATACCCTTTGCATACATACAGAGGCACATTGTTTCAAAGTACAATCTCAGAAACGTGAGTAAAGCATTTCAAAGAATATTACATCCTTAGATACATAGGAACATCTCTTCAAGGTACAGTTCATGTTTAGATACATAGGCGCAGCATTTTCAACTAAAGTACAGGCTGAGATGCATTTCCAGCAACAGTTCATGCTTAGATACATAGGAACGGCATTTCAGAGCACATTATATGCTTAGATAATAGATATATAGGCACAGCATTTTATAGTATAGTACATGATTAGGTACATGGGCACAGCATTTGAATGGGTACAGTATTCCAAGGCATGGTACATTCCCAGATATATGGACACAGAATCTCAAAGCACAGTGCATTCTCAGATACCTTGCACTGTGATCACTTTGAAAACAAGACACAGCGTTTCTGATAGTTCCTGAGATACATGGGCGTTATATTTAAGGAATTAAGACCAAGATTTTATGATTTATGATTTCCGGTTTTATAATCCACAATTTTATCGATCAAAAAATATTTTTATGAATTCCTTGTATGTAAACTTGTGTTGATTGTTAAATTACAAAATAGGTAGGGTAAAGAATATGTAAAAGTCATTTGATCTTGTTCCAGAAGCAATATTTTGTCATTTTTATCGCATACAATTCCTTTAAGATATACTTATCCCTCAGATACACTGTATTTCACAGTTTGACAATCGTTACAAAATGTTTCTCTATATAATAACCCAGCCTACTGAATATAGTCCTATTGTTTTAAATGAGAAAATAATACAATATCCAACTCAAATCATAATGAAAATGAATAAAGAGTAGTAAAACACGAACATGAATGCATTTATCACATTAGATTAACGTCATGGAACATATTAATAAATGATAAAGTAACCTGATACTCTCTGGGATTTATGGCACCTATATCAATAAATATGACAGCTGTCCATCCATCATATATTCCATATAGGTTATTAAACATAATTATCCCTTTAGTATATGGATGTCTTCAGGCATCTATGTTGCTCAGTTTCTGTGATTTTACATTATGGGTTGTTATCTCTGCAGTCTCCCGTAGAGATTGCTTTACTGTTCTTATTAAAAGCAGTCATGTGTTATGTAATAAGATACAAATTCTTCAGGGTGTTTTTGAATTTGAATAATGTCATATTGCTAAGTGTCTGCGAGTTAAGCTCGTCAAAGTGACTTTCGAGTAATTGTAAGCATGATTGAAATGAGTGACGCGATTGCCACAGATGATATGGATGTTTGCCATTTGGATAATACTTAAAATCAGTTGATCAAAGAAAAAGTGTTCACTCTGCTCAAATCAAGAATTTGTTTTAATCATATCTCACTGCTCTTGGGACAATGTGACATAATTGTATTTGAGGTACAGTGTCACTCATTACAGTGAATAAAGTTATATTCAGATTTACCTTTTTACTTTTACCACATACTGTTTATCAGACAATCTTTTTTTATTAGGTTTTTGGTTTTCATGGTTTATGATATTTTTGTTTGAGTTCCAATGAGGTAAAATTGCTTTAAAACGAGAAAATTTAAGAGTTCGAAGAATTACATTTTGTACCTTGAAATACATTGTACATTGTTAAGTGAACTAATGAATAAGCTATTATTCAAAGAGTTAGGCTTGCGGTTACATATTCATAAATCTTGTGACATTCACATTGATAGTGTCGATGGTTGTCATGGCTACCCGAGAATCTAAAGTCAACTTCATCTGAGGTGTCATTTTAAGTAATAACTTCGATTTGCTTAAATGCATCAAATCTAAATTCTCCCGCATTAGAATCTTTTCTATAAATAGATATAAATCTGGTTGTTGAAGCTCTTTAAAGCTTTCAATCCGTCAGTGATGATTTGTATAATTTAGATTTCTTGCTTTAGGAAACATGTGACAGGAAACTGTGTGCGGATCAATTGATTTGAACATTAGTCTGGGCTTTGCCACCCGGCTTTGCTCATCAACTGTTGTCTCATTAAATGCTCTTCTATGTTTCATTTACCAAATATAGCTTTCAAGGCAGATTGAACTGGTTTCAATTAAAGGTGTGCATTTCGCTTTGTATACCTGATATAGGTTGATTTTTGATATTTAGGTCGTCTGTGGCTGTATTTGAGTACTGAGTAATCTTGTTAGTAATATTGAACATTTACATTTACCAAGTTATCCAACAAAGCCAATCTTAATGAATGTCACCTGATACATGAAGCCAATAAATGGAACAAAGTAAAGGGTCATGCATTCATATTTCAGAATAATAAGCAATAACTATATTATAATTATCACATCCAGCAAAATTTGAGAGATACCGCGAGTGCCTTGATCCATCCATCTGTACATGTGCCCATCCACATGTCAATCCACATGTTCATCACATGTTCATCTGTCCAGGCAATAATTCAAATACCCTTTGTCCGATATTGTTTATATGTTATGCTTATATGCCCTTCTGCTCTGTTCATGAATTAATTTCGGAATCTGGTTTCAAAATGGCTGCCATTTTAGTATGTTGCCTTATACATAAAATTACAATATTAATATGTTTTTAATGCAAAGAAATATTTGATTTTTTATTTTGTTTATGTTTTATGGATGCATGATACATTATCTCAATGCAACATGCTGGAATGCTGTGTTAAATGGCAGGAATCTAAGATATTTTTCAACTGCTTTCACTAATTAGAATACCCCTTGCATTCATTAAAAGAGAGCTTCGTCTTCGTGTAGTTTAACTAGACTCTGCAAGCAGGGTATAATTAGAAAGGAGGTCAAAATGTATTGTTTAAAATCATTGGGAATCATTTCATGCTTTGATTCTATCATTGAATCCAACTCATTGCACTTTATAATCTATTCACCCTAAGGATAGAGATCAAAGGGCAACATTAACAAACTACAGACCATGCCAGACCCCTTAGAAAGTATTAGTATGAGATCTGATCTAATTATCCATAAAAAAGCATTACAATATTACTCCGGATATTTAGATGTACACTGTTATGTTAAAACATATTACATGAGGGTTCATTCAAACAATGATACCTTGCTGGACTAACATTTGAGGTTATAATCAAGTTTCAGCATTAAAAGAATTTGTGAATGTGGTAGGAAAGGATGACCTTGAGACTAGAGAGTGTAACATATTTAGACCATCCCTTTTAATATAATACTGTGCATTTGACAGATTACATATATGCACATTCAGAATATAATACAGAGAACATGCCATATGCACTGTGAAATATAGACCTGAATTGCAATACTGAATACTGAAGATTAGCAATATTGTATCTCAATTAAAAAGTGAAATTGATATTTTTCATCAACCAGAACCAATGACTCAAGATCAACTAGGTCTAGCTTAATAGAGATCATGCATTTTTTGTTTGTTTACTATTATATGTTTGGCATTAGCTACCTATGCAACTTCAAGGGAAGTCAGACATATTTAAATGATGAGAATACACAAATATCATATGATCAAACTGATCTTGCTAGTTTTTTTCAGTCTTTCAAAAACGATATATTATACATCATCAAATGGTGAAATTATTGACAGTTTTACCATGGGCTTTACCATGAGTTGAAAGCCCATGGTTTTACACATGATAATTTAAACAAAATAAAAATTAACCAAAATTAACATGCTTCGCTATTAATAGAACTGTTGATGCAATTTTGCTCTTGATCTTCGACTCATTCCATGAATTATGAGATTATTTGTGGTTATTCTTTCAGGTTGCAGTGCCTGTAACTCAACTGTGTGATATCTCAGTGCAGAAACAGTGTCGGGAACAAGTCAAACAAATACGACAACTCATCTATGGTGATATTGCACAAGCTCTTAAGACATTTTAGGATGGGCTCTGGCATAATGACAAGGGGTGAAACAAATACCTGGAAGCAGATGTTGCATTCGAATATAATGATCAGGCCTTACAATGAACATAGACTGATGAATGACTAGCCTTATGTAGAACATTGATGTACAGCATAGTGTGGAACTTAAGTGGATATTGACCTTGCTGTAACTCAATAGAATGATTGCTTATAATCTGATTAAATATTGAACTGAAGGGGATGGTGTCCAATTGTCAATAGTTGTGAAAGAACAAAGATAATTTTTTAAAGGTGCAACAATTAGTACAGAGGGGCCATTCAACAATCATCGCCTAGTGTCAAAATATAGTTTGGATATTTCATCAAGACTTACATCTATTTTTATTATCTACTGGTACAAAGAAACCCCCCAGATAAAAAATTATTTCAGCTGATATTCCTCTTGAAATATGATGGATCTTAAAAGTGGATTTCCCCTTTTCTGAATTTACACTTCTTAATGCTGAAATTGATAGTTTATCCATACATTTTAAGAAATTAGGTATGTCAAAGTCAAAGAAGATGTTAAGCCAAATGTTGCCGTGATAGCTCAGAAGAATTTCCTATTTTCTCTCTACATACCTTGTTGCCCCTTTAAGGGAGGCCTGGTTAAATGATGATTTCATAAGTGAAGGGTTTTGACTTTTAAGAATTTAGTTGATTGCAAGTTAAAATCAATATTTTCAAATTTGGTTATATCAGGGTGGGGGGGGGGGGTCTGGAATGGGGGCGGGGTTAGGGTAAATCATAACTTTGCTTTTCCAAAACTGTAAAAGTATTGACATTGTTGGAACTTACTCCCTATTTCAGTTTTAAATCCATTAAATATTGGCCTGTATGTGCAATACTGACCTTTAAATTAATGGAATAACTACCTGTTATTTAATTGAATATTGGCCTGTTATTTATTTAAATATTGACATGTAATTGTATTAGTGCAGTAAGATTTTTAGCTCAATTAGATATAAGCCTGTTAATCGATTGTATGTAGTGCCTGTCATCGAAGCGATATTAGATATCCCTAACTGTATTACTTACAATATTATGACTATACATAAACTGTATGTATTTGTTAAGATACTTACCACATATACGATATGTTGTTAACTACCAAATGTAAATGTAGTTTACTACTGCACAAACATGTTATTAACTTCCACACTTACATATACTTAAGAATGATACATATACAGAGTAAAGAAATGCACATGCATGTATAAATACAGTAAATACTACACATACATGTAGTTTACTACTGCACAACCAATCAAATAGAGTAAAACCTATGCATATTGAACATTTTTTTGCTTAGAAGAAATATACAGTGCTGGTAGGTGTTAACTATTTAATAGATGGTAATTTATCAAGAAGTCAGTAGAGTATGTGTGAAGGAAGGGTGTCCACTAGAGACTAGTGTTCACTAGAGAGAGAGAGGGGTGTTCACTAAGACAGGTTTTACTGTATTTAGTATATACATGTAGTTAACTAAATGATTTTGCATCTTATGAATTAAAATTTAGCGTCATATACTGTCAAACTATATTTTTCATTTTGTATTTACCAGGCGTTGGTAGGTTTGTTTCTACAATATTTTATACATTTATAAAACATTTTCTAAACTTATCAGGAAATAATGATTGTACACTGTCAATTTGTGTTAAATATATATTCCTTAGAATTTATATTGTTATAAATGTCTGACAGAAATGAATGAGTTCTTTTGATTAACAGAACAAGAGGATGTTGTATTTTGTATTTATACCAAATTATCTTCAGCTCAGTCATTTTTATACAGAATAAATGTTATAATCATTTTTTAACTGACATTTTTATCTTAAGTGGTAATTGATTATTTTTATGATTAATGAGGGAGTTCTGATATAAACACCCTATGCAGAATGGATCCACAAAAGAAACTCGGTGCAGATAGCATGAGCACTTGGTGCAGAACTAACAGTCATTTTTGAAAATGAATTTGTGATAGATATAAACTAAGTTGTGTTGAGGCTTCCTTTCTATCCATATACTGGTATGTGTACTTCACACCTATTGATTAAAATGGAATGGTTCTTAGCAAAAATCCTACTTAAAAATTGCAGTCATCCAAATGCATTGTCTTTCTGCGAAATGATGAATTGACTCTATATGATCATAGTACCAATTCTTATTTTAATGTTGTGATTATAGATGAAATAAAAATGAACATTTTATCCAGTGCAGTAGAACAGCTGCCTTCTCTCTGTAGACTGCTAATTCCCAGGGAAATGCAAGTTTCTTCACTTGTGGCTATTATTATAATCAGCTGTGATAATTCAATGAAGTAAGAGAGTTTGAAAATACAAAGTCAATCTGCTAATTTTGACCATCAATTTGATTTTCTATGACAGTACAGAAAATATAATTTGTTTGCTTTTTGTAATAGTTATCTCATTCTTTACAGGGGGCCATAATGATTCAGACAATTTGCAACTTTGACGATTTGAAAACATCATTTTGACTAAGATAGGCCACACATAATATTGCTTTGTTTTATTCTATTTTTATTTCGTTTTGACTAAGATAGGCCACACATAATATTGCTTTGTTTTATTCTATTTTTATTTCGTTTTGACTAAGATAGGCCACACATAATATTGCTTTGTTTTATACTATTTTTATTTTGATAGTATCTGGATGAAGAAACAAATTTTTGAACTTTACATGGGGCCTTTTTAGAACTATTTGGAATTGACATAGCTAAAAAACTGTATTATAACATATATTTTCTCCTATATAAGTTATAAACGTTGTTCAACTGTTAGAATCAATCATTAGTTGGTAGGGTTACTAGTCAACTTATTCAATAGTGATTCCAATTTTGAATTCCTGAACCACATCCCTTGAGACAAACTGTTGTAATAACTTTACTCGAGTAAGATTAAGAAAGTGACACCAAGATTAAACTCATTTATTGTTATTCAATATTATCATCTATCCTATAGTGACGTTTAATTCCGCATTGAAAGCCATTAAATTCTGCAATGCTTCTTCAGTAGGCTTTAGGGGATGAAACATACAGGCTTACAATTATGGACTTTGATAAATGGTTGTCAGAAGTTATCATATATAATTACATTTGAAAGTCAGTGGCGTATTTAATCAGACGCAGGTCGTCAACCATTCTTAATTGCTTAGCGCGTTATCTCCAGACTTAGTCTGTCGTTTGCTATCAATTTCCAATGGTTCTAGGTTTTCACCAACCTGAAAAGGTATTTTATATCAAGGTCTCCTTTTAAATAAACTAGCAATTCATGAACCCCCGGATTGATAGTCCTTATTTTCTCTGGTCGAAATGACCGCTGAAATATCCATCGGGAAAATGGTTGGTTATGTCTAGCGCACAGCCCGAGGAACAATCATCATTAAATTAAGACGCACATCTATATGTGTCATAATACAAATTATCTTATGTTTAAGAAGGCTTGGCATTCCTATTTGCCGCAGGATCAAATTAATATTATGGCGCAAACGACAAATGTTAAGTTTTATTGTTGTCATTTTCCAAATCGGTGAACGTTGCGGATTGCTTACAATCTTATGAAGATCAATCTATATGGGTTACGTGCTTTATGTGCCCTTCAATAAAACACAATAGTATAAGAATAAGAAAAGCACTGAGTTGACTAATGAAGACAATAAACACAGGAAAAATAATGAATTGCTCATTCTATGATATTGGATCGCACGAAAATTAACACTATAACACTATAAGTGTATAAGTTGATTGGGAAATAATGTAATTTTATTTTGACCCACGAGATACAATGACGCGGAAGATGTTTCATAGTTAGATCTGCATCAAGTTTATCTATAATAGGAGATTGTTCCGGAAATGCTCAGAGACGTACTTTGCTAAATTGAATATGAAACATCATAGGCTTGATATCATCCTCGGTTTATTTATGACGACAAATTAGACACATTTAACTGATTTAACTTGTCTTGGTTGAAAGAACACAACTAGATAGAGTGTCATTCGCTGATATATGGTGATGAATGCAAAACTGGGTCTATTCCAGAAAACAATAAAATTAAGATAATGGGAAATGTTATGATTCCAGAGACAAATTAATCCTGTGTCTCACTCTTGGGAAACATCAATTGTTCCTTTAAACAACAGTGAGGACGTCTTATCCCCTTGTGTCACATAAACTTTATACTAAAAACTCTTTTTAGTGCCTGACAACTTGTTTGATGTATTTCCTTTAAGTATTTCGTCCTGTAAAGCTTTTAAGTTAATGCCATACATAACACATATTCTTTCAAAGGGCAATTGGTTATTTTATTCAAGAAAGGCATCTTCCGAACTTTGGTATTATTCTGATGAGGAAACATTTTTGTTTTACGTTTCTTCCCGCTTTTACACCGCATGATTGATCAGGGGGAGGGGCCCATTGTCAGGGGTACAAGGAACAAGTCACTTTTTTCTCGCAATGAGTGTTTGTATTTTTTATCCATTTTTCACAAATAGCTGGGCAAAGTGTGTCAAATTCCATCCAACCACTCAAATGCACCCGGGCTAGTTTTCGATTCTAGTGAAACCGATTACATCAATTTCATCCCAGCTTATTAGATATAGCAAGGCATGTAAAACATGTTTAGATTTTAAGTCAAGACATAATATTTTTGCGATAAAACTCTGAGGCCAAGGTTATATCTGTAAAATCTTAAGAATACTCTCTAGGCTTTGCAGAAAAATATGTCGCAATTGTTTAAGATTGGCACCGAACTCATATTTCTTTCACCTTTTTAGGTGGATCCCAGCTATGGTTGAGAGATAGGGACCAAAACTAGCCATAGTTTTCTCCTGATGACCATTGTAAAATATTGTTTCACGGATTATGGGGATGGCTCTGCGGATGGATGTTGACCCTTTGATACGCTTATGGACTTCGAGACTGGATTTAATCTGTCCCACATCATTTGAGACTGAATGCTTCTATGCTGTATGAATACTAAACATCTACAACTATTTTTGATGTTTTAAGTATTGGCTATCAATTTTTTATTCTTCAACATGACTGGGGTAATGACTTCAGTATGAATGAAATATCCCTCAAGGTGTTATGATCTGTGATATGTGATGTTGGTACTTGAATGGTGGGAGGGGTATTAGACACTTTCTTTTCACGTTGGATTACGATTTTGGGATAGTGTGGATTTGTTTTCCTTATGACTGTAGTTCTCTTGAATGCTTTCTTGTTCACCGAATGCAGTCAGATCGCCTAAATTTACATTCGTATGATGCGAGGCTCGACATTT